TATTGAGGTCTTTTTCTTTTCATCAGGATAAAGAAATGTGGTTAAGTAAGAAGCTTAGGGGAAAATCAAGTGCTTCTGGACCCATGAAAAAGCAGCCATGTTGTCAGGTGTTTTTTTGTTTGTTTGTTTTTTGAGCAGTTTCCCACTGTGCAGGCTGGCGGAGTCAGCATTGGTCACCCAGAGGGCCCCATGCTCCTCCTGGTATCAATGTAGCTTGTGGTTCAGCATCTGGGGAGAATTTGTTTATAGGAAATCATTCTCCACTCACAGATTGTTTTAAAATAGATTTTTATCAAATGTAAAACTCCAGATACAACAAAAGTATATTTGGGGTATCTTTTTGTCCATAATCATCCCCTATTTAAATAAACTGTAATGATGAATTAGTGATGTATCTAAAGCTAAAATAAATTGCAAATGTGAGATTTTAAAGCCTAATTCCTCTCCTTTCACCTTCATTTTGTTCTCATCTTTTTTTCAAATTTATGAAAATGCTTCAAGACTCCATTTGAGTAATGAAAGGCATAGTGATTATCTCTCTCCCGAAGAGCATGGGTATTTTCCTACCTGAATGTAGCAAAAGGATCTTCTCTTTCTTAACAAAGCAGGGCTTTTCTGAGGTCTCTGATGTGGACACTCACTTCACTGTGTAAGGGCCTCACCGTTTGCTTTTCAACCTTGTGGTGAAATCTGGTGCAACACCATTACTCTGTCTGCTCTCAAACGCAGCAAAACTCACCTCACCTTAGGAAGCAGGAAAAAAACAGATGTGGAGCGTGCTGTGTTTTGACCTGGTGTGCCGAGAGCTCTTCCCTGGCTGGCGGGACTGAAAAATCCACTGACACGCACCCCACACCTGGACCTACTGGCCATTCTCTGATAGCTGTTTCCCGGGGAACAGCCCGCCACCGGAAACCCCTGTCTGTGGTGTCACAAGCCAATCAGAGCCAGCTATGGACAGCAGTGGGATGGAGGAACTCTAGAGAAAAAAAAATAGCTTAGGCTGCCATAAGTCAGCTCAGTGATTTGTTGGTAATCATGGGCTCTCGGAGAGAAAGGAATCAGTGTCCTGGAGGGTTGCCTGGGAGATGGTCTAGGCAAAGGACCTTCTCTTTCCATTAAACGGCTTAAGGACTTTTTAAACTGAAATTTGATTCCATATTTCATAATTATGTGGAATATTCTCATGGGTAGATATAAAAATCGCCAGCATATCTCTCCAAATAAAAACCAAAGCAAAAACATTGATGTTTCCAGGATATGAGCAAAGTGCTACATTTAGCACGGTGCAATGGCACCTGGGAGGTACTCAGTAGATATTGTCAAATAAATGGTGCAGGAAGAAACAGTGAGTTCCCACCAGGTCACACTTGGCAACAGCAGAAGTCAAAGTTAAAGAAGACTGTGAGTTCCTTCAAATGGAAATACTTCTGGCAGGGACCAGTGACCTACATCTTCTGGAAACTTATGTGAAAAGCCGTGTGGTATCGCAATATTAGCTACATTCCAACCCACATTTCTTCCATGCTTGCAGCTCTGGTGCAGTCGATAAAAGGTACATCTAGGGAAGTTAGCATGCCATTTGGCCCACATTTGGTAACTAAATATCAAAATTGGAGTGAATCTAAATACTGGAAGGAACCCAAACTGTGGGTGACCTGCTGGGTTGGATAGTATTGGAATCATTTGGCTGATGATGCTAATCAGTCACCATTTGGTTTTGAAATGGAAGCCCAGTAATCAAATAAGTTTAGTAAAATTCCTTGTGTTTACAGAGGTCTAGTCAAAATTACTCTACATTTTCCTATTTAAGCATCCTGGTGGAAGTCACATTTTGCCTTTCTAATTAAATATTTGCTTACATGTGTGTAATGCAGCGTCACTGAATGAAGCAAATAGCACACTTCTAATTTTTATGGGAATTTCAGTTCAGGTTTTCCTTAATCTCAAGGCCCCGAGTTATCAGAAAAATGTATTTGTGTTATGATGTATCTATTACCTGTATGAGCTGGATTGTCAGACTCTGAAAATCGTACTACGTGTATATTACAAGAATGAGCCCACAGACTGTGAACAGCACTGAATTAGAAGCAGAGTTCTCATTAAACCCCTCACCAGTATTTTCACATTAGGAATATTATTTAACAATCCTTGGTCTCCTCACCTGCAAAATGAGGAGAATATACCTGCTGCCCACCTTACAGGGTTTTTGAGAGAAGAAATCATATCTTACGATGGCAAATCTATTCAGAGCATAAAAATGCAAACTTGGAGTTGTGAGGGTTGCTCAGTTTGCACATGATATTACCACTCACTCTGTGATCTTTGGCCAGTAACTTGACCGTAGTTTCCTCATCTGTCAGATGGGGGTAATGATAGTACCTAGCTCACACACTTGTTGAGAGGATTAAATAAGATACTATATAAAGTACTAAGAATCTATGATAGTGGATAATATTGATGAGCACTTACTGTGTTCCAGATACCTGCTAACATACACGATTATGTGAGGTAAAGGCCCAGTTAGCGTGTTTTTCCATTCCCAGCCTTTGTTCCTATGTGGCCTTGCTTCTACAAGCCAGAGCCTTATCATGTGAGAGTTCTTATCAATAATTCTTTCTGAGGAATAAGGGAGAGGCAATTTACAGGATCTACTGCTCCCAAGAGGAACGCTTCCAGGGTAAGGAACTAACCATGAAAGGAGATCTCTAGCCCGGAGGCTGGATTTGGTGAGCCACAGAGGAAGCCAACCTATGATTTGCATTCTGGATGTATTTCTTTTAGACTTTGTCACCAGGGTCCTGGGCTCTATCTGTTATTTAATTATTATAATTACTTTTTATAAGCCTTGTTGCTATTATTAACAGCTAGCATACAGTGATTTCTTACATAGGACATAGTTCATTGACTTACTTATCACAACAATCCTATGAAGAAGATTGCATTATTATTCTTATTTCATACATGAGTAAAGAGAAGATAAATCAGAGGATGAAATAATCACCTGGGCTAGCAAGTGGTACTGCTAAGACTCAGACTGTCTGGCTCTGACCTCCTATTTCTAGCTACTATATTACCCTTTGATTTATTTAATGATTCATAATGAGTGAAAGTTCAATAAGGCACTTGAATTAAAAATCCATGTGCTATACTTTCTTGTACCCACCTTACCACCCAAAGCAATGAGAAGCAGACAATAGACCATCAGTAAATGTCACTTGAATATTTGTTTGCCTTCACCAAGATCTGATAGAAGTCTTCTTTTAATTCTGATAATTTAGCACACTAGGATTTTTAAACAATAGAAACATCTTTAGATCTGTTTCATTTACAGGAAGCTATGCTAATCTGCATTTTTGTTTAAAGCTGTTGGTTCTTCCTTTGCTCTAGAATCTAGATGAGTTCTCATCTTCCTGAACCGCAAGGCCTCAGAGTGTGTGAGGAGGGGAGGAAAGCCTGAGCTGGATGCAGGGAGCACGGCTATTGGTCAGCCTCGGCCCAGGAGGCCTCACTCCTGCCCCATCACCTCTCCATTCCCTGCCCTGAAGGCCCCCTTCCTCAGGGCAAGAGAGCAGTGCCAGGCAGTGTGCAGCAGTTCTGCTCAACTTGTCCTCGAGTCTATTTTGAAAACCAAAATAAACAGTTTGGGTTGATAGTCAATGTGCCAGAACACAAACAAAAAAGTCCCATTTTGTAAAACAAAGTGAACTCTAACCTTCTGAGAATTTTTGGTTCTCCTATATAAAATGTCTTTTGTTGTTTTAAGATACATTCTCATGTGATTTTGTTCATGTTAAACAAGGATTTCCTGAAGCTCAATATAATTTATTATAATTAATACTCTAAACTGAAAAGATGATGTTGAATGTAGAATTGTAGCTAGAGCTTTAAAAACATTGATGAACAGAAACTATAGGATTTGCTATATAAACAAGCTCCTTTAATGCATCATGTTAATGATAGAGCTATAAACGCAAATTAGATAAAAAGCCTTGATTGGATTTGCTCCATTTGTTTTGCCGATGCAGCTTTACTTGCACATGATGAGAACACTTTAGTCAGAAAGCACATCGGACAGACAGGACCATGCCAGTAACCTGCTCCAGTGAAATAGCAAACAAATATCAGCCCAGCCGCTTGCCTTATGGGCAAAACAATAAAGAAATACTGAAAATTTCTTCTATTTACTATTGAAAATTTAACAAGAAATTATATCCTTTGTACTATACTTCCAAAAAGGAAACAACCTTTTTTTAAAAACCCACATAAGCCATTGTAATTGTATTGTAATGAACAGTGAGCTCTTTAGCATGTTCCAGAAATAGCAGTAGACTGATTCCAGCAGTCAAGGTATTTCAACCTTGGGTAATCAATCAGAGTGCAAAGGAGTGAATTAGAGGTAACCCAGTACTCCCAACACCACTGATTTAGCATTTATCACAGCAAGTAATACACATGCTGATTGCCTGCCCTCTGGAGGGAGTCTACAATCAACTGCTCTTTAGCAAGGCCTGATTTCCAGCTTAGCACCCATTTAAACTGTTGAGGCAAGGTAACATTTGCTTTAGAAAACTGAAATGGAAAAGTAAATACACTAAATTCAGGAACCAAATATAAATTCCTTTTGGATTATACACAGTTATGGATTAACAGTATATCCATATGGCTAATCCCCTCCATTAGTGTGGATAATCCAGAACTGAATACAACTATTAACATGTTGAAAGTGATGGTAGTTATTACATGACATTAGTTTCACTAATAACACCAAAGATGTTTCTCTTTGCCAACAATCTTCCCTTTAAGGCCTGTTGTTATACATGTAATTTTGTTTACTTTTTGGGTTTCCTAATTTTAAAAGCATGGATTTAGACGTGATTGTTCATGTTTGGGAAAAGAGGTCCCTAATGATTCTGGCTTGAAGGGTAGCTAAATAGAAATTTACTCTATGTCACATTCCCAAAGATGATCTTTTCTGGCTTGGCCCCTCTCTCCTGCAGCAACCATCCACCATGAGCTATGCAAGACACATCATCAAGAAGGAAGGCTGGGGACTCCAGGGCCTCAACAAAGGATTTACAGCAACGTTGGGACGTCACGGAGTTTTCAACATGGTTTATTTTGGCTTCTACTTTAATGTCAAAAGTATTATTCCTGTCAATAAGGTAACTACTTGATCTATTAAAATCCTGGATGGAGAATCTTATCAATGACAATAGCTATCATGTCCCAGTCACTGTGCTGAACCCTTACATCAGCTATGTAATTGGATCCTCACATCAGCCTTATTGGTTTAGTGTTGTTATCCTGCTCTGAATTTGGAAATATCAAGACACGTGCCCAGGATCACATAGTAAATAGCAAAGCAGAGACTGGAACCCGTCTGACACCAATCACATTATACCTGAATGTGCCATTGCACATGCATGCTTCACAATTATCACTAATGAGGGTTTCTGGAAACTATGTTTTTACTTAATTTTTATCTTAAAAGCATAACTATTTTTCAGAAAGTTTGCGTTGTAAATAAATTCTGAGCTCATGAGTAAAACTGTCAGCTTAAAATTGAAATATTACCTAGATCTTAATTGTTAAATTTGCATAAATTAATTAAGGCAAGTAGCAAACAAATTCTAGGATCATTTGTTTTTGAAGCAAAATAATAATAATCATTATTATCTTTCCAATGGTAACTTACAGATGCCAGCAGCCTTTAAACTTCTAGAAGATAAAAGTAGTACAGTATATGCTTTAAAATGGGCATCTGTGAGCTTTTGTGAGGAATTTTCCCACCATCGGATCGCTTTCTGGCAAAGAAAATTGCGACCCTGGAGGCAGCAGTTGGGGCAACATTTTTCACATGCAGGCGGTTTCCAGGAGGGTTCAGTTTTTCATTTAGCTCAGTACAGAAGCATTGAAGGACTTTTTATAAATGATAAAAATATTTCTAATGTGAAGTTATTTATACCTATATTTGCCAGCTACTCCCCATCTTTTAGGCCAAGATTTATCACAAGTATGAGGACAGCTGAATCCAAGGCATGTTCCACCGTTAACCATTTGTGGCATTGCCTCACTCACTAGCCAAAGTTGTTAACGTGGTTTCACTGTATTTGGAAATCTCATTTATTGAGTGGAAGCTCGTTTTGTTCATCTGAAATCTATGATTGGCCACATAGGTAGATCTTCCCACTGACTGACAATTCTGACTCTGATGGAGCTCTTTTTCTCCTGTTGAGTCCATGAAATATAGAAATAGAGCACAATGAACACTTGGGGCCTGGGTGACATGAAAGACTTTGGCTCTTAATATATTAAGATTCTTTTTAGCCAGAATGATTAAATATAATAACATGAGGCTGAGGGCAAAATGAAAATGCAAGGCCCCTTGTTCAACAATTAAAGAGTTCAAGACAGCAATGGTAGAGCCATAAATCAAACAGAAGGCCCTTCTAAGAGTAGGCTCTGGTGACTGCTCGAGTCACACACCCATGAAACTAACCCTGTCTTTTAGACTGTCAGATGAATAATCCATACAGCATAGGTCAAATGTCTAGGCCTCCCTTTCTCCAGTTATCCAAAAGCTTGAGACAGATGGAAATTATACACAAATGAAATAAATTATATAAATTGTTTACATATATTATGTAAGTATCATACAGGGTGGGGCAAAAGTAGGTTTATAGTTGTTTCATATGGAAATAATACAATACAAGCTATATAATAAAGAGCCACAGTCATAACCACCATTATAAATGAAGGCTCTACCAAAACAGAAGTCAGTGCTGTGTTGCCCTGGTGACCCAGCACTGACTGCCTAGGGGACTGCAGATCAGGCTGAGGGAGAGGTAGGGTGTGATCCATAGCCTCTATGGCAGCCATTGATCAGAACTTTCCTCTCTTTCTCACAGCTGGGCCTCAATTTCTCTCCAGGCCTCCCCTGGGGCTGCTGATCAGCCCCGCTTTTCTGATCAGGTCCTGTTGATGGGCCCAGAAATGCTGACTGGCATAGAAACTGACTAATCAGAACCAAATCTGTGACAACTGTGAGAAGGCAATGGCTGCCTAGGAGACAGAGCTTTTGATGCTGATTGGAATAGAAATTGACCAATCAAAACCAAATTGGCTGGCAGAGGAGGGCAGTTAGGGATATCAGGCTGGCAGGGAGGGCAGTTAGTGGTGATCAGGCAGACAGAGGCAGTTAGGGGCAATCAGGCTGGCAGGGGAGAGCAGTTAGGGGTGATCAGGCAGGCAGGCAGAGGCAGTTAGGGGTGATCAGGCAAGTAAGCAGAGAGATTAGTGGTGATAAAGACAGGCAGGCAGAAGGCTTAGGGGCAATCAAGCAGGCAGGCAGGTGAGTGGTTAGGAGCCAGCAGACCCAGATTGTAAGAGAGGTGTCCAACTGCCCTAAACCAGTGGTCAGACATCCCCGGAGGAGTCCCCACTTGGAATGGGTGCAGGCTGGACTGAGAGAAACCTCCCTCCATGCACGAATTTTGTGCACTGGGCCTCTATTAAAATAATAACAGGAGAATGAACTGTGTTTCACATACTCACAACTGTAAATCTATTTCTGCCCCACCCTATGTATTTCTTTTTTTAAAATTTCTTTATTGATATGGTATCACATAATTATCCTCATTCCCACCCTATATATTTCATTACATATACTACTAGAGGCCCAAAGCACAAAGATTCGTGCAAGAATAGGCCTTCCTTCCCCTGGCTGTCGGCACTGCCTTTGCTCTAGCCCAGAGCAGCCTTTCTGTCTTCCCATGCTGTCCAGAGGCCCGGAGGGGCTGGGGCAGTATGAAAAGCCTACATTGTCTCCATGGCAATGATGCAAGCATCCTGCCCCCTGGCTGCTCAGCGCCTGTGTATGCAAATTAACCTTCCATCATTGTGTTTATTTGCATACTCACTCCTGATTGTCTGGTGGGAGTACATAGGTCAATTTGCATCTTTCTCTTTTATTAGTATAGATATTTTTGCATGTATATTAATGCATATGTTAGAATGAATTTAGTTGTATTTAAGAAAGAAATTTAGGAAGACAATAAGATTTATATGGGGACATATGTTATTAATGCTTAAAAATAGCTACACGTATAAACTTCATTCTATAATTAATAAATGTATATTATTAAAAAAAAAACCAGAAGCTTAAATATTCATTTTTTAAATGGCATCATGCTATTTGAAACTATGGAAAGAGTTCATTTATCTTGCCAGTTCACAGGGATGAGATCATACTGGCCCTCATAGTCCACACTAAGCATTCTTTTCTAAGTCTGAAGAGCACTGGGAAGCCAACCAAAGATTGTAAGCAGGGGAAATCACTCTGGCTGAAGCATGGAATATGAGTAGAATAGGGGTGCTGAGGGAAAGGCAGGATGTAACATGGAAATGATTTCAATGTCAGATGCTGAGGAATTGGACAGTGTTCGTGGTGGAGACAATAAATGGACATATTTGATAAATCTTCAGAAGGCAGAATCTATAGGATATGATGATGAAGTCTATGTATATGTTGAGAGCAGACGGGGAGAGTTAAGGAGGCCACCTAGGCTTTTGACTTGAACAACTGAAAGGATAATGGTGTTAGTCACTGAGAAAGAAAACCTTTGAATGAGAAAAAAGTTTATGGGAGAATATTATGGGCTTAACCTGGAAACTGAGTTTAACCACATTGGGAACTCCAAAGTGCAGGCATTGAATGTTGATTGTGGGTCTTAGAACTTGACAGGAGATCTTAGACACTTAGAAGTCATCAGTATACCTGGGCGAGAATACCTTTACAGGATGAATGGTCTTGGGCCAATCACTTCTCTGCTCGGAGCTCCAGTTTTTTTAATCTGCAAATTATGAAGCTAAGATTGTTTATTTCTTCTGACAAAATTGTTTTGAGGATTAAAATAAATAGTATACGAAGCAGCTTGTGACTTTTAAGGTGCCGTAGAAGTGTTCATTGTGGTGGTGCTGATGACAGGGAGGAGGGAAAGAGCAGAGGGGGCAAACTGGTGGTGGGAGCAGTTAGCTTGGGGAACTACATAAATTTTCCCCAAGACTGTTTCTTTGCACTTAAATGAACACTGTGTTTCTTCTTGCCTAGAACAAAGTCATTGATTTTATGTGTTCTGTAATCTAAGCCTGATTCAAAACTGGGAAACCAGTATTCTTTAAATTTCAGCCATAATAAATCAATCCTTTGTGAAGAGGAAGGTATGATAATCATTAAAACATGTTGAAGAACGTCATCAAGTTGTTAACCGCGATTAACAGGAGATGCTATTCCTTGAAGGCTTTATTCCATCTTTGCTACGGGCCGTCTCTAGCTACACACTTTGGGCAGTTTATTTACAGGGTTATGATTTCAGTTCCCTCGTCCAGCAATGGGTCATTTTGTTGTTCCAAGGAAATTTGAGATTTCACCAACCCTGAGCAGCTCAGGATAATTCTTGATTTTTCTTTAACTTAATATATTTTTAAATCTATAAATTGTCTTACATGTTTACCATTTTTGAATTATTTGATTTTACAAGAAACTGTCCATAAAGGTTATCCCTAGGGAGTGGAAATTGGGAATAGTGTGTGTGTGAGTGTGTGTGTGTGAGTGTGTGTGTGTGTGTGTGTGTGTGTGTGTGTGTGTGTGTGTGTACATGCATTCGTGGGTGTATATGGATGTATGTGGAGTGAGGGCAGGAAAAAGCAAGAGCAGTGAAGGGAAAGTAATTTTTCTTTATACCATTCCGAGCTGTGGGAAGCTTCTATAATAAGCATGCAATAAATCAGTGAAAAATTTAATAGAATCTCATAAAATAGAGTACCTAGTTAACTTTTCACATTTTACTGAACTCCAGGGCTATGTCTACAGACGTAAAACAGTAAGTAAGCCCAGATAACTCAGGTCAAATATCTACCCCTAAAGCTTTTAACTTACCTCTTCAGATTGGTGATCTCTCATAGATACATGTTTTCAAATTATCACAGAAATATCCTGACCTTCTGGATATTTCATACTATTAAGACCATTTTTGTGGTCTCCCTGATTTTGCCTGATCCTCATCACAATAACTAATTTTCCGATAAGGAAACCAAATGGAAGATTAGGACCCAGAGCTGAAAGTTACTTTAGTAATTTAGTTGAGATCACATAGCATAGGGA